AAATCCATAGAGTGCAAACCGCCTAAACATGCATCCAGTTCCAACATAAAATGGACCTTGAACACCGTCAAGGGCTCGCATGTTTCCATCGAAGAAAACAGTATTATGATTGGCATAACGATCCGAGGGGTCAATGCCTTCAAATCTTTGTGGGAATTGAATATAGCATATGTCTTCTCCACCTCTATCCATCATGAAGCACATTCCTTCCCTTATTGCTTTGCAATTGTAGAAGTAATGATCACAATCAAGGTTGAGAATGAATGGCCCATTAGACAGAATAGCTGATGCTCGAACTAGTGCATTCATTGCACCAGCTTTCTTATTATGATCATAACCTGGCCTCTTCTCTCGCGAAACATATACAAACATTGGCAACCTTGTATCTACATCTGAGAAGTCTATTATCTTATCATCTCCACTTCCCAATAGCGGATCGGGACTTGGCGGCTTCAACATTACCTATATATACATAAACAAAGTTAAGTTATGGAAAATTAAACCTATGTCTAAGCAAGTTTGTGATCATGGAAAAAGAAAATGGAAAGTGATTAGGTGTTACAAGAAAAAGGATGAGAAACATATGCAGTTACTTACTAATGTGTTATAAGTTTAATCTTTCAAGAAAATTGTTCATATTATACATACATATATATAAATTGGTTTATATGTAAGAAGATTAGCTATGTGCTTTACTTACTTGGAGTATTCCAGCATGGTCACTTCTAGAATGTTCACTAGATGGAGAGGCCCAAGTACCAGGCCAATGGGTGCCATCAGCCATCCATGTTGACTTCAATACTTTAATTGGTTCAGAAGGGTCAGCTCCACTTTCTTTCATGTGCTTCATCATCTTCATTTCCTCCCTCGCATTAAATGCATCCGATCTTCTCCTAATGGAATCTGGTAGGCCATTTATACGTATCTTGAACTCATCATACTCCCTCTTGACTCTCCTTCTATCTTTCACAAAATCTATTCTGCTTTTGTTCTTGGTTGGATCAACTTTTAAGTTGAAGTAAGTATCCGGATTCCTCGGTTCAATTTTGTGTTTTCGACAAAATGGAACCCATAAATCAGCAAAACTCGCAGCCTCAGCCATGGCTTCAAAAGTCAAGAGAGCACCTCCATCATCAGAAACATAACAAGCAAGTTTCTCCACAGGATAATCAACAGCTAATATGGACAAAATTGTATTGGCAGTGGTAAGAACTGGCTCCTTTTCAGGATCAGCAGTAGACACAAAGAGGTCTACGCCAGGCAGATCTGATCGACCCGTGGGATTGGATGGCGATGGACTATCAAATTTTTCATGGAGGACTTCAAGGTCAGTGGAACGGTTGACAGGGCAAAGCTTCGGAATTTGATCAAGCACCCATGAGAAACCAAACCATATCTCACAAACAATTGACATTAGCCACAACCATATTGCATCTTCATTTGGATGCATCACTCTCCAGTGTAAGAAAAATATCAATACTACTAGCCGAATTGCGATAAGCAACCTGCGAAATTACAAATTACAATAAGAAAGTTAAGTAATTTTAACCCATTATAGCCAAAATAAGTACACTAACTTGTAAGGACTCATGATAGAGGTTGGTATTGGTGTTCTCCTGCTTAAAGGTTTCCAAGGTTTATCTGTTGGATCTATCATTCCTCCTTGAAACCCATCATCACCATCATCACCATACATATCATCTTGGGGCCAATAAGCATTACCAACCCCATAAGTTCCTTTGGTCTCAAACAACCACCTATTGTGGTCAAATTCTCCATTTTGATTCCTCTTCATAACAGACATGTTTGTATCATGTTTTCCATTTGGTGCTGGTAATGGAAGTGCTCCATTAGAATAATCTGGGGTATCATCATCATCATAGTCCCCTACTCTGTATGGCTCCTTGCAACCAGGGCAAAGATTGTTTTCTTTTTGTGCATCTAAAAAGCAATCTCTGCAAATCTTGAACCTAAACTCCATTCATTTTATAAATTTTTGTTAGTTTCACTTGATTGTTCAGTAATGATGCATGGGATTGCAATAAGAATATATAGAAAAGGTAGATACTTACCTACACTCACATGGAATTACATCATTCCCTCTCTCATCCTTCATAACCTTACCATCACAAGCATGCATTGCACATGCAGATCCTTTAGAACCAGCCATTTGAGGATGAGTGACTTCAGAATCAATGACCTTATCCATTAGATGAGCTCTTGTAACACTATTGAATCCTCCTGTAAATAAAGAATTAGAAACATATTGTTCTTCAGCTTTCATTGCAACAGATGTATCTGAAGATTCATGTTCTGGTGTAGGTGGAATATGAACAGTGTAATTCATATAGTCCCCACCAGATATATCTGTGGACATGTCAATATCTTCTCTTGACAAACTCACATATCTTCCACTTGAAGTTCTTCTTGCAAATTTAACACTTGGCCCTCCTTCTGAATTGCTTCTACCTCCTCCATGAGTATGTGATTCTTGTCCTCCAGAATTACGTAAAGAAGTTTTCTTTGAACCTTTGTTGGACATTTTTTCTAATATCACTATACTATTTACGTTAGTTTTCTATGAACAAAGAAAAAGAAAATGTATATGTGCTAGTTTATTACCCATTAGGGTTATAGTTAGTTATAGAAGAAGAAGAAGAAGAAGAAGAAAAACTAGTCTTTGTTCTTGAGATTATTCTAATGGATTAGACTAATAGTAAGTAACCATAGGAGGATCAATTAGACCCCATCATTTGCTATATTGTTACAATGAAGAATATCAATGAAAGTTCAAATTTTGTTCCAAAAAAAGTGGTTGGAGCAAAGAATTTTGATTGATAAATGAGAAATATTTGTGACAACATAGAATATTGGAGGAGAAGATGGATTTATGGTGAGAGACCAGGTCTTCTCTATAATAATTCTATTTTAAGACTTTTCATTTTCGGTTTTTTAGGAGAGAAAAAAACATAATTGGTTGTATTTCTATGTTTATAGCTTCTATTATTATTATTCCACTAATTTATTTAGTTAGAACATTTCTTTTTAGACACTAGTTACAAGTTATTATTAGTTTTTTTTAAAAGAATATGTGAATATAAAGAATATGTTGCAAATATGTAAATATTAGGTAGGTTTTCATTGGGTTTTATAACTCTAATTTGTGAATTCCATAATCATAACCTCTACAGGATTAATAGAACCCATTATGTACTTAATTATTTCTTATACATTGCTAGATTTCTCTTCAATTTGCTCTTCTTCCTACTTTCTGCTTATTTATGTGCTTATACATCCATAGTTTTTAAGACATTATCAATACATTATAACAATAATACATTGGTGTAGTAATGTAAGGCTTCATTAGATCATCAAATAAGTCAAATGGTCAAATGTTCGATTTATGTGAGTAACACTTGTTGGAAGAATTAGGGTGATTAGTTCTTTACACATAAGTGATAAATATCATTGATTATACCAAAACATTATCAATACACTATAATATTGTTGAATATATTTTTGAGTTCCAATTTCTGTTGGGATTATCTCTTTGATACAATTGAAGGTATAACTATAATTCACAATATCCAAATATTTTTTCATCTTACCGTGTGCTGTACATAATAAGGGTGCAGTCAGGCATATCTATATTCGATGGAGATCACATGTCCCAAAATTTGGTGTCTCATTGGGTACCAATCAAATAAAAAAATGTCAACTAATTAAGAAAAAATTATAAAAACAGAAAACAATGTGTTTTTACTACTTGGTGGGATATGATTAGCTTAAGACACTATGACAGGACTTTTTGGAGACATGAGATCCTTGTTCATTTATATCATAGCAAACATATTTTGTTGGTTTCTAGCCCATAAGGGTTACTATTCTTATAATTTCCATAAAACTATCGTGGTATATATAGTCAAAAAGAGATCCATTGTCCCAAATTTTGTCTTATACGTTATCATGATTATTATTGCTTCATTGTTATTTGCACGGACGTATGAGACATGACTTGGAACAACATATCGAATCTAATACCTTCATCAAGAAAAGACAAATGTTTGAACAGAGGGAAACAAGCTTTAATTTATATTTCCAGGGAATTTTCAAATACACATATCCTTCACATTCACATGCATCCTTATATTTGTTCTTCTATTTATCTAAAACTTAAGAAATCTAAATAAGCCATAAACCAATTTTATCATTCAATTTGATGTTTTTCATATTTACTTCTGGAATTTATAAACACAGACGAATGAAAACCAAAGAAAGTTGGTTAATGTTATAATTTCATGCTACTTTTTCCATGATGCATTGTTATATAGTTACTTATCCAAATAGCTTATGTAATTATTTGGTGTAATATTATTATGTTTTCTTTGAACAACTACTATTACCTTTTACCTTGATGTTTAATTTTGAAACCTTTTTCTTTCTTGACTCCAGAATTATTTCATTTTTGCACGTGGAAAGAAACAATATAATATAAAGACATTCTTTTCATTCTCTCCATTCTTTTCATGCAAACTTCAAAGACATATATATCTCGTTGATTATAATAAAATTACACCTTTATCATTATAAAACAAAGGGAAAACATGCATTTATCTCTTCATGCACTTGTCTCTCCATTAACGGAGAGGGTCCTAATTCCATCAAATTACATCGGATCGTGCTCAATCTTTGCCATTTGGAAATGTTATCGGCACCATAATTCTTCATGGCGACAGTTCACTTAACTTGTCATCTTTTTTAAGAAGTAAAGTTGGGAAGACATGTGTTTTATTGTTGGATGTACCCAATTGAGAGGTGAATATTTTTTTTACTTTATTCAACTCATTTGATTTTTAAAAGTGAAAACATCAAATATATTTTCATTTTGTGGTCATAGAGAGTTAGGACATTTAAAGTCTCTTGTAAGAAATAGGACTCAACATGAAGGTTCCATTAGTGAAGGTTATTTAGCTGAAGAAATCCTCAAACACACGTTATACACAAGTTGAGTCAATGATGAATAGAGTTGGAGGTGTTATTGATAAACCAAATGATGATGAAAATTTTCAAATATCCTCTATTTATCCACAATTAGGAAGGCCTGTGGGAAGGGACACATATCAGATGTCACACTCTCCGTCCTAATCTCTGTCACGGACCAATCATAATGCTGCCATATGAATAAAATATAAAATTTAAAAATAAAAAGTAACAAAAATTAGCATTGCGATTGGTACGGGACAGAGAATGAGACAAAGAGTGGGACAACTGATCTTTATCAAGTGGGAAGTTCATCAACTTTCAATCTTACCTCATTAGAGAAAATACAAGCACATTGATATTTACTCTTCATTTACTTTTTTGAGGGAAAACATTGGTATCATGCACTAACATAGTAATTAACTTTTGTAGTGAATTTAGAACACTCACTAAGAGGAAGACAAGAGATGGAAGATAATGTCATAATGTTTACTAAACCATTTGATTTTATATTTAGGTTGCAAATCCAGATATAACTAGTACAGTGTCAGATGAAATCAAGTTTCTAGCCAGAGGCCCAATGACAAATGCAAGAAAATATACTGTGATACAAGAACAATGGATTTTTCTAACGAAAGTTAGAAGACATTATATTATTAAGTGTTCTGAATTGCAGTTACATTCGTGATTGCGGTAATAGTTATGATTATTGCGATTGCAGTTATTGCGGCCATTGCAATACAGATTGTGGTCGTTGCGATGTGAATTATTTTGTTATTAAAACAATATTTTTGAATCCGATGCGGCGTGAAAGGTCCAAATGTGGTTCGATACGGTTGCGTTGCGACGACATCTTTGTGATTCGGAACCGCATCACAATTGTGGTGTGATGCGGTTGTTGCGGTCACCGCAATCGCAATATTGTAGCCGCATAAAGTAATGTGGTCCGCAATTTAAATCACTGAGCGTAACTATTATGGTTTTTTTAGAATTGTCCAATTTAAGTGTAAATGGGAAGATACTATTAGATTAATTAACAATTAGTGGTTGATGTTCTTGGAAATTACTAGTTTGAATGAAAGTGCCTAATTTGATAGTGGTTGACAATTGATGGATCAAACTAGTTGGGGTATTTATTGTTAACTCCCTCCCCTCTCACTTCATGGGTAGTTTCCATGAAAGTGAATGAGTTATTTTCTCCAATAACTCATCCTAAAACCTTTTACAAATAGAGCACTTGTGCATTAGAGAAGTCATGTCATTCTCTGCTATCTCATGAGTAGAAACACAAAGTGAGAATTAGAGAAGCATTAGTGGCTGAATAAGGAATGTGCAAGGAACGCATAAGGGAAGATGAAGAGGTGAAAACAAAGGCAACAAGAAAGAAAGGCAACCATAAAATGCAGTAGAAGGATACCGAAATGGAATTAGGTATTCTTCAATATCTTCTTTTATCACATGTTAATGTCATAATGTCAAAGTTCTAATTAAAGGGTTCTTATGAACCATTAAAGACTCATGAAAAGTTTTAAAAACAATAATATAATGTCATAATGTCCAGGTCCTAATTAAAGTGTTCTTATGAACTATTAAAGTCTCATGAAAAGTTTTAAATTAACAATTGATATCAGAGCATCAGTATGAAAAATTATTGTTCAATAATACTCTAATTAATTGTAATGCATATTATGATCACTCAAAGGTAGATCATTGCATGTAATTAAGATTATGATGCCATAAGGATAATTAATTGAGTTTGTTCATTAATTATAATGCACATATTGATCACTCAAATGTGGATTATTGCATATATTAAATGATATTAAAGTTTTAAGGATATTTGTTCATGCTCATTTATCCAAAGATAAGATGCATGTTTAAATAGTATGATTAATTACCCATTGAAGAATAATAATTGGCATCATTGATGATGTTTGATGCATTTAAAATTTATCCAAATATAAATTAAATGCATAAATAAAAGTTTAGTTTGAATCCATAAAGGTTTATTCAAAGCATTAAAGTGTGATTATATCTTATTTCAGTTTCATTCGCCTTAGGTAATGGACGTGTCAAGTTCAACGAACTGAATAATGTTGATTAGTCCGAACAGATCCAGTTCTCACTAGGTGTGATGGAGTTAGACTTTACCATCATTATGGATAATGTATCAATTATAACTAAGATCAGCTCGGAGGAAGACAAGACTCTATATGAGGCTTGGGAGCGGTCAAACAGATGGTCTTAGCTTAATGAAAATGTCAATTTCTGATAATGTTAAGTCATCTATGTCTAAGACGAATAATGCAAGGGAATTTATGAGAATGATCAAGGAGCACTCCCAATTAGACATTACTAAGAAGTCTGTGGTTGGAAATCTCATGACAAAACTGACGACCAAGAAGTTTGACTGGTCGTAGCCCATTCATGATTATGTAACTAGCATGACAAATTTGGTTGCGAGAATGAATGGCATGGGAATGGATGTGACAAAAATATTATTAGTACAATTCATCATTAACTTCATTCCCATAGAGTTTGGCCAATTCCAGGTAAACTACAACACCATAAAGGAGAAATGAGATTTTTAAGAAGTAAAGGCCATGCTCTTTCAGGAGGAGGAGAGGTTAAATAAAATTAAGAATGACTTCATTCACTTGTCCATTCAAGAGCCAGCAAATTCAAACCAAACAATAGGAACAAAGGAAAGGGGAAAGAAAATATCCCCATTAAAGAAGGGAAAATTCATAAAGAGATAAAGTGTTTCTTCTTTAAGAAGAATAAACACTATAAGAAGGAGTCATAAAAGGAAGAAATGTTTTGAAAAGAAAGTAAACATTTTGTTTTCGTTATAGATGAATCATTTCTTACTGAGATTCCTAATAATACTTGGTGGTTAGACTCTGGTGCAACAACTCATGTGTCACATATTGTGCAGAGATTCCTTTCAATCCGAACCCAAGAAACTGAGAAGTTTCTATACATGAGGAACATAATGAAGGCACAAATTCATGGAATTGGAACATACAGATTGATCATAGATAGTGAAAACTATTTAGATCTAGAAAAATATTTTTATGTTCCTGAATGTGTCAGGAACTTGATTTTAGTTGTTAGGATGGATTGTATAGCATTTAATTTTAAGATTGTACATTTTAGTTTTAATTTGTATAAACATTCGTACTATTTTGGTTATGGTATATTAATGAATGATTTATATTGCTTTAATATTGATTTTAAATTTAAAGAATCTTTATTTAATGTTGAACATGATGTTGGTAGCAAACTTAAATATTTTGATAAGAATTATGTTTACTTGTGGCATAAAAGATTATGCCATATATCCAAATAAAGGATAATGAAGTTAACGAAAAGTGAGATTTTACCTCTTTTGGATTTTGGCGATTAAGATGTTTGTTTAGATTGCATTAAAGGAAAGCAAACTAAATACATATCAAAGAACTCGGCCACAAGAAGTAGCAAACTTCTTGAAATGATACACACATATATTTGTGGTCCTTTTGATGTTCCATCTCGGGGTGATGGAAAGTATTTCATCACTTTTATAGATGATTACTCACGTTATTGTTACATATATTTGTTGCATGAAAAATCTCAATCATTAGATGTCCTAAAGGTATTCATTGACGAGGTTAAAAGGAAACATGAAAAGAAGGTTAAGGTTGTGAGGTCTGATAAATGTGTTGAATATTATGGAAAATATAATGAAAATGGACATTGTTCAGGACCATTAGCAATTTTTCTCGAAAGTCGAGGCATATGTGCTCAGTACACTATGCCTTACACATCGTAACAAAAAGGTGTGGTTGAAAGGTGAAATCGTACTTTGATGAAAATGATAGATCAATGTTGAGTCATTATGATATACCTTTATTGTTGTGGACGTACTCATTAAGGACCGATGTGTATATGTTGAATAGGGTTCCTAGTAAGGCATTTCCTAAAACTCCCTATGAGTTATGGACTGGTAGGAAACCCAATTTGAGACATATTCATGTTTGAGGTTGTCCAACATAAGTAAATGTGTAAAACCCATATGAAAAAAGTTTGATGCAAGAACCATTATTGGTTTCTTTATAGGCTATCCGAAAAAGTCAAAATGGTACAAATTTTATTGTCCTAACCATAGTACGAGACTAGTTGAGTCTGGAAATGTTAGGTTCATTGAGAATAGTCAAACCAATGGGAGTGATAAATCACGAAATGTGGATATTATGGAGACTTCAGATAAATCTTATTTAGTGAAGATGTCTCCTCAGGTTGTTGTTCCTCTGGTTATATCACGGTCAAATAACCCATAGAGACAACAAGATAATATTCAATACCCACAGGATGAACAAATAGTTAATGAACCGATTAATGAAGTCGTTAATGATCAAGTGATGGAAGAATCGCGGAAAATAACATTAAGAAGGTCTGAAAGGCTAAGAAGGGCAACTATTTCTAACTATTATATTGTATATTCACTTGAATATGAATTTGAGTTGCGCATTGATAGGTATCCACTTGCAAACTCATGACCACTTGCCGAGATTATATTTTCCTCAAAGGACTTAAATGTTCCCCATAAGCAACAAATGTCAAGTGGTTGGATTGTGTAATTTTGTCATTTCATAATTCAATTTTATAATTTTTTTTAAACAAATAAAACATGTTATTACAAATATATCCCTTTGAATGCAAAATGTCATATGGATAACTATTTTGGTAATTATACCCATCTAAGATAATAGATGATATAGAGGAATTTCTTATTAACATATCATTGGGAATATATCTTCGGTATCATAATGTGTGTCATTTTATATGTCATTAACTATTATTGGTTGAAAAAATATATTTAAGTTAAAAATTTAACTATTCAGTACTTTCGTGAGAAATTAGAACTCATACCACATGAAGTAACACATATTATATGTTTCATCACAATTGATAGTCAAAGTTATCATCTACAGCATTTGGGTATGAAGTAATACACAATCCAGCACTTATTTGATTAAGATCATTTGCTTATAAAAGTACTCCCCAATCCCCATTACAAATATTTACTGTCAGATACATCTCATCTAAGAATTTTAATGGTTGTGCATAATATGTGTCAAATTACTGCACCGCAATGCATAATGCATAAAGATTGGTCTGCAAAGAAGGTTCATAATTGTGTCTTCATCAACTATTAAATTATTCATTGGATTTCTTTTCACTGCACCATTTGTTACATTATTACATGAATCACTTGATAGTGATGTTTACATGCAAGTCCCCTTGAAGGACTAAAATGCCTAAAGCATATATGATGAACCTTGAAATGTATTCCTTAAATTTTGAAAAGGTTTTTGTATGTTGATGAGGTTATTGTGATGATATTGGTGAAGAAGATAGAGAATGAATGGTAATATTCCAATTAGTGTTTTACTATCATAGGGAAACTAGTTTTTTAGTTGGG